TGTTTAAAGGCAAATAATTCAATCCTGGAGATAGTTGTGACGCTTCATTTCCTGACATAAACATTAATTGAAGAGTTTTCCTTGTGCTGAGTCCATTCTCTGATTCCATTCTTTCCCATTTCGGGTTTTCTGTCTCCAGCATAGAGAGCAGTGAGTCCAGCTGCCTGGACCCTAAGGTCTGGAGCTCTCTCCCTCCCTCAATCCATAAATCCCTCTCCACTTCCCTCTGCTCCCTTCAGCTTGTTCAGAGATAACACAGTGTGGAGTTGGATGAACACAGCAGGCCAGTCTGCATCAGAGGAGCAGGAAAGCTGACATTTCGGGTCAGGACCCTTCTTCAGAAATGGGTCAGCAGTTCCTACTATCTCTGAGTTTGTTCTGAGAATCTCTCCACTTCTCATCCCAATCATAGAATCATGGAATCCCTACAGTGTGGAAACAGGCTCTTCGGCCCAACAAGCCCCACCGACCCTCGGAGAATCCCACCCCCTATGACCCACCTGATCTATACAGCCCTGAACACTATGGGCAATTTAGCAAGGCCAATCCACCTAACCATCTGTGGAGAAAAACAAGAGTTCATGATTCAGGTCCATTGTCTCTTCTGAACTGAGGAAGGTTTATTGAACCAGGGTCACTGGACCCATAACATTACCCCTGTTTTCACTCCACAGATGCTGCCAGACCTGCTAAGTTTACCCAGCAATTTCTGTTTTTGTTTCTGAGTATATAGCTGGCGGCTGTGTGGGAACAGTACACTTAAGAGGAAAATCAGGAGGACAAAAATGGACTTGAGATATGGCAGATAAGGTGAAGGAGAATCCAAAGAGATTCTACAAGTATATCAAGGGCATAAAGAGTAACCAGGGACCCTTAAAGATCATTGAGGTCGTTTATTCGTGGAGCCACAGGTGATGGGTGAGATCCTAAATGAATATTTCTTGCTGGTATTTACCATCAAGAAAGACTGGGAAGATAGGGAATTCTGAGAGAAAAAAATAGTGAAAAGTGTCCACATTACAGAAGAGAAGGTGTTGGAGGAATTAAAACGCATAAAGATAGGTAAATCTCTGGGACCTGAGCAGATATATCCTAGAACATTTTGGGAGGCTAGGGAAGAAATATTTGTATCATAGACATCCACAGGTGAGGTGCTAGAAGACTGGAGGGTGGCTAATGTGTTGCCATTATTTAAGAAAGGCTGCCAAAAGAGCCAATGAACTATAGACCGCTGAGCCTTATGTCAGTGGTGGGTAAGTATTTGGGGGGGATTTTGAGACACATTCTACATATACACGGAAAGGTAAGGATTGATTAGTAATAGTCGGCATGGTTTTATGCATGGGAAGTTGTGTCTCACAAATGTGATTATTTTGAAGGGGTGACCAAGAAGATTGATGAGCGTTGAGCGGTAGACGTTGTCTACATGGACTTTAACAAGACTTTCAACAAGGTTCTATGTGGAAGGCTGGTTACTCAGGTTGTACCAGATGGGATCCAGGGAGAGCTAGCCAATTAGAGACAAAATTGGCTTGACAGTAGGAGACAGAGGGTGTTGGTAGAGGGTTATGTTCATACTGGAGGCCTGTGATAAGTGGTGTGCCACAAGGATTGGTGGTGGGTCCACTCTTGTTCATCATATATATTCTCATTCAAATTGTTTATATAAGAGACATGGTTAGTGAGTTTGTGGATGACACAAAAATTGGTGGTATAGTGGGCATTGAGGAAGATTATCTAAGAGTACAATGGGATCTTGATCAACTGGGCCATTGGGCCAATGAATAGCAGGTGGAGTTTAATGCAGATAAATACGAAGAGTTGCATTTTGGTAAGACAAACCAGGGCATGACTTACATGGTTAATGATAGGGCCCTGGGGAGTGTTGTCGAACAGAGCGTTCTTGGGGTGCAGGTACATAGTTCTTTGAAAGAGGCATCAGAAGTGGACAGAGTAGTGAAGAAGGCATTTGGCCCACTTGCCTTTATCAGTTAGAGCATTGAGTACAGGAGTTGGGATGTCGTGTCACAGCTGTACAAGACATTGGAAAGACTTCTTTTGGAGTACCACATATAATTCTGGTTGCCCTGATATAGGAAGGATGTCATTAACCTGGAAAGGGTGCAAAATGGTTTACAGGGATGTTACTGAGATTGGAAGGTTTACTTATTAAGAGAGGCTGGATTGGCTGGGACTTGTCTTCCTGGAGCTTAGGAGGCTGAGGGGTGACCTTATAAATGTTTCTAAAATCATGAGGGGCATTGATAAGATAGGTAGCCAAGGTCTTCTCCATGGGGTAGGGGAGTCCAAAACCAAAGGGCAAAGGTATAAGGTGAGAGGAGAAAGATTTAAAAGGGACCTAAGGTGCAACATTTTCATGCAGAGGGTGGTGCAAATAAGTGGTAGAGGTGGGTACAGTTACAACATTTAAAAGACATGGGTAGGAAAAGTTCGGAGGGATATAGGCCAAACGCAGGCCAATGGGACTAGTTTAGTTAAGGAAGCCTGGTCGGCATGGATGAGTTGGGCTGAAAGGCCTGTTTCTGTGCTGCATGACTCTACGACTGGTAAATCTTGCTTTTCTTTCTCCACTTTAAAAGTTTAAAATTTAGTAGTCCAGTGAAAAGGTTAATAAGGTAGCTGGCTCAACTGACTGAGGGACAGTTATCAATCATCTGAAGCCTGAATGAGGTCTTAATATGTGTTAAATACTATTGAAGCTTAACTAGTGTGAGCCATCTCAGCTCATCTCATCTCTATTTGAGAAAGAGCCTGTTGAAAGTGCACAATCAGTAAGCTTTGCGTGGTCGGGATGGGGATTTCCGATCCAGAATGAGTCACAGCCCGACTGAGTATATAGAATGGGGAAATGGGTGGCAGTGTGGGAATTCAGTGCAGGGGAAGCGTTTTTTGCTTGCTTTTTTGGCTCATTGCTTGGAAGGTTTTTGTTTTAACAGGATAAATTGAAGTCCCAGACTAGGGGCCCAGCACAAAACAGTTCTATGAGGTAATGTGCTTGAGCTTGTCCAACAGTTTTGAGATTCTTGCTGTGGATGAGAGTGGGGCTATTGTGAGGATAGGCAAACTGAGCATCATCACCTTGGTACAGGGACCCATTCAAGAGGGGAGGAGAAAAGCAAACTGTAGTTCTAATCGGGGATAACATGGGGGAATAGAGACTGTTCTCTGTGGCCAGGATAGAGAATGTGAAGGCTGTGTTGCCTGCCTGGTGCCTGGGTTCAAGGAATTCTCATCTGGGCTGCAGAGGAACTTGGAGTGAGCGGGGAAAGACCCAGTTATTGTGATCCATGTCGTTAAAATCAATATTGGCAGAAAGAGGAAAGAGATTCTGCTGAGGCAATATGAACATCTTGGGGCTAAATTAAAAAGCAGAACCGAAGATTTCTGAAGAAGGGTCTCGACCCGAAACGTCAACTTTCCTGCTCCTTTGATGCTGTTTGGCCTGCTGTGTTCATCCAGCTCCACATCTTGTTATCTCACCTATTTTCCAACAATCTGTAACCCTCTGCTCTCTGCCCATTCATGTATCTGTCTAGATACATCTTAAATGACGCTATCGTGCCCGCCTCTACCACCTCCGCTGGCAACGCGTTCCAGGCACCCACCACCTGCGTAAAGAACTTTCCACGCATATCTCCCTTTAACTTTTCCCCTCTTACCTTGTCCTTCGAGATGGAAGTGGTAGTGGGTTTGGAAGGTGCTTTCTGAGGATCTTTGGTGAATTTCTGCAGTGCATCTTGTAGATAGTACACACTGCTGCTACTGAGTGTCAGTGGCGGAGGGAGTGGATGCGTGTGGAATGAAGTGCCAATCAAGCGGGCTGCTTTGTCCTGGATGGTGTCAAGCTTCTTGAGTGTTGTTGGGGCTGCACTCATCCGGGCAAGTGGGGAGTATTCCATCACTCTCCTCACTAGTGCCTTGTAGATGGTGGACAGGCTATGAGGAGTCAGGAGGTGAGTTACTTGCCGCAGTGTTCCTAGCTTCTGGCCTGCTCTTATAGCCACTGTGTTAATGTGGTGAGTCCAGTTGAGTTTCTGGTCAATGATAACCCCCAGGATGTTGATAGTAGGGGATTCAGTGATGGTAACATCATTGAATGTCAAGAAGTGATGGTTATTGGTGATGGTCATAGCCTGGCATTTGTGTGACGCGAATGTCACTTGCCACTTGTCAGCCCAAGCCTTTATATTGTCCAGATCTTGTTGCATTCGAACACGGACTGCTTCAGTATATAAGGAGTCATGAATGGTGCTGAACATTGTGCAATCATCGGCGAACATCCCCACTTCTGACCTTATGATGGAGGGAAGGTCATTGATGAAGCAGTTGAAGATGGTTGGGCCTGAGACACTACCCTGAGGAACTCCTGCAGAGATGTTCTGGAGCTGAGATGATTGACCTCCAACAACCACAACCATCTTCGTTTGTGTCAGGTATGACTCCAGTTTCTTACCAACCAATCAGCTTACTGAAAAAGAGAAGAAGAAGAAAGCACCTCCTCCCCTCCCTTCACCAAAGCCCCCCTCACACAACCCACCCCATCACTATCTGCTTCTTGCAGTAAACTTTACTTGAAGTGACTCTTTCCTCTCTGTACTCCAAACTGCCATTTCTGTCTCCACCTTTCTCAGGTGATGTTTCCCTCACAGTGACTCTGCACTGTTACTAACCATATGTGTTAAAGACATTGAGCTGTCTTGCTTCAAGCTGCAGTAATTAACACCTTATTCAGGCAAGGGAGTTCAGGAAATTGATAGATAACTGCCACTATCAGACAGTTGCCGTTTAATTAGGCTATTTAAACTTATTTAAGAGCTGTAGTTCGAGGTCAGAATCTGACTTTTACTCTGTAATTCCCAAGTAGGCTCACTCAGCTTCCATCTCTGGGCAACAAGGTAGCTCAGTGGTTGGCACTGCTGCCTCAAAATGCCAGGCACCTGGGTTTGATTCAAGCTTTGATTGACTGTCTATGTGGAGTTTGTATTCGTTGGATGCTCTGCTTTCCTCCCAAAGATATGCAGGTTAGGTGGATTGGCCATGCTAAATTGCCTAGGGTGTCCAGGGATGTACAGGCTAGATGGGTTTGTCATGGCAAATGCAAGATTAAAGGGATAGGATAGGAGGTTAGATCCGGTGCGATGCTCTTTGGAGGGTTGCTATGACCTTGATGGGCTAAATGGCCTGTTCCACACTGTAGGGGTTCTGTGATTCTTTGCCTCAGTCAGGTGAAGACTTCCTCACATTGACTTGTACAATCCTTTCAGATGTTTGACTGTCACCCGACAGGGTTTTTGATCAGTTGACTGTATATCTTTTCACATGACTGTTGACTTTCATTTTTCGATTAAAAAAGGTATGCTTGCTGTTTAAAACAAACAAATTAATACGTGAGAAAATAAATCTAATATTCCACAAAGTCAAGAATGTAAAAGCAGAATTCTATTCACCTGAAAATAAGAATGTTTTTCAGAATTATTGCATTTGAATTAATTGACAATTAAATATTTAAAGCTGTTTTACATTTCACAGGAAGCTTTGTAGAAGTAACAGAAACCTGTTTAACACATACAGCATGTGATTTAAATTGATTTTTTTGTGAATCAGGAGTGATTATTGCACAAATGGAAGGAATCAACTTCATTACACTTTTACTCTTGTGGGTTCCGTTATCCACAGATGGTAAGAAATATTAACATTTATTCATTTAATTATATTTGTGGCAATATGCAATGAATTGTTATTTTGCTGTGATTGCAGAAGTGTGTCATTTTAAGGTTGCAGACTCTAATTGTGAATTTATCTGTTTCTTGAAAAGTGAACTTGCTTTAGAAAAGCTCCCGGGATAACAAGGTGTAGAGCTGGATGAACACAGCAGGCCAAGCAGCAGGAAGGCTGACGTTTCAGGCCTAG